GGTGGTGTTCCCTGTTGCCCTGTGAACTGTGTTGGCACGTTGTCGTCATGGCTTGTGCAAAGAGGCAGAATTTGCCATTCGCCATGAAACTTGAAATCATAAATCGGGTCGAGCGCTGTGAAAAGAAGTCCGACGTCGCCGCGTACAAAATTCGTAGGAGCACCTTGAGTACTATCCTGAAGAACAAGGCAGACATCAGGGCCAAGTCAGACAAAAGGCCAGGTGCCCGTGGCGCCCGACGTGTGCGCACTGCTGTGTACAAAGATGTTGAAGTGGCCATTCACGAGTGTTCCCGGGTGCTGTCCATGGATCGACATTCGACGAGTTTGTCAGTGCAGACGATGATGTCGCCATGTCGGGTCAGCTGCAAGATGAGGACTACATTGCAGACGTTGTGCCGACCACGAGTAAAAGCAACAGCAAAAAAGAAATTGATGATGCCCATCGCCTACATCCTCCGAGGTGATTAGTGCACTTGCATTGGTCCGGCGCTGTTGCGTGAATGTGGAAGGTTGCGGCCTCAGCTGCTTCGACTCCTTGGACAACGTGGAGGCGTGCGTGCTGTCGCAGGCAGTGAAGGTTGACCCAGAAGAAAATCTGGGACTATTTTGTACCACAGTAGGGGTCGCAAGTAAGCCGCCATATTAATAAACTACTTTTCTTATAATTTATGATGTGGCTTTGTGTCAAATCATATACCGGGCCTATATAAATTGTTACATATATCAAACTAATAATTGTTTTTTGGGCAAGTTCGATATACCCGGGTTCGACTGCATCAAGGAATTCGTATGTGGAGGTTCGTTATAAGCAGGTTTAACTGTAGTTGACGATTTCATATAGTTGACAGACAGACGGACGCTTAGCAACACTCATCATTCACTCTGTGGATATGCTGTGAATTTTTTGGTTTAGTGTAGACTTGCTTAAGAATCACACAGTTGAAGTCCATTGTATTTCCGTATCCTAATGCCATTTTAACGCAAGTTCGGAGCAGCTACTAGAGAGTTTTAGTGCTGGGTACCCAAGCGGCTTGCATACCCAGGACGCCGGGGCGGCGGTATTGCGCATGCGCGAAACCCCAAACAGATGCGTCGCAAGATCGCTGGGGCGATGGGGCCATGCGTCCGTAGTGGCCATAAACAACGCTGCTACCACTGGCCTCCTAGCGGAGATAAGCTGACCTGGCGCATCATGTTGCCCGTGACGTCACCCACCTTCACGGCAAACCACACTTCACACTCACCTTCACTGGCGGTGGATCAATAGTGATTAAATTGTTTCAGCCAGATTACCAAAGCTAGAATGGCCTAGAACATAGAAGCCAAAAACGTGCAAGCCCCGACCAGGTGAATAGGTGGCGCCATCTAGCGGGGCCATGAAGAACCAGGAAATCACAAAACTTATTGCAGAAACATTGTGCATTGTACATCTCGTGCAAAAACTGCGCAGCGGTGTTATTACAATTGAGTTACTTTTTTAATCAATTTCACCTCGAAAACATTACGCGTAAGCCAACGTGTTCATGACTGTGGTTGGACGAAGTGTCACAAGATGTTGAACACCATCGTTACAGTAACCTTGTTCTTTTCCCCTTTTTGCCAATACCAGGATTCTGTACACGATAAAAACAAAAGTCTCGCTATATTGCGCCAACGACGATTCAAAAATATGTAAGCTAAATGCAGTTAGCATCACCAATTATTGTTCGCGAGAACGTAAAGGTATGCACGTTTACGTACGTATGTAAATGTTTACGTATGAGGAGTTCAAAACGTTGGAAGACATGCGATTCCGTAAGAGGGTAAACGCAAACCGGTACCCGGCAACACGTTGAAGTAAAGAACTATACATACAAGATAAAAGTTACACAGAGTTACATGTTACACCACTGTTCTGTTGTCGCGCTTGTCGGGACTGCGACTGGCCGCCTGGATTGCTTGGGATCGATGGTGCCGGCTTGAGTCGCAACTGCGGCACATACGAAAAAAAGTTTTTTTTTTTGTTTCGGGTTGATAACCGTCAAATTAATTAAAAATGATTTATTGAAAGTAGTTTACTTCATGCCACTATGTATGTTTAATTTAACATTTTAAATCGTAAATATACTTAAGGGGGGGACGTGCCTTTGAGAATGAACTTTTGTTTCTGGTCGGATGACGACGAAAATTGCCACAGACACTAAGAATGGCCTCACCGTGCATCCACAAAAATTTCGAGGCGATAGCACAAATACCTAATGAGGGACAAATTATTTTTCAATTGAACCTCGTGGAGGGGCTGGAGGATATATAAAATGACAAAAATGGTTGGTAATTGCTGTATCCACAGCCAAATGTATGTTGAAGGGGGCTGCGTTCTCCAAATATATATTTGCAACACTAAAACTAGTAGTTAACGTTTTCTCCAGCGACATTACAATGAGCACACTTGCACTACAAACTAAGAAACTCTATAAAAATTTCTTTAAGGAGTAAAATGAAAAACTAAGATCGCAGCCCCCTGAAGCACAGTTTAAGGAGCATTACAAAATAAACGGAATCAAAATCTGTACAGTGGTTGCCCAGATATCTGCTCCACGAGCTGAGTATAATGCCAAAAAAAACAGTATTGAGAAAACTGCGTTTAAAGTTTCAAATCAACTTCTTTTTACGTCTATAAAACACCTAAAGATTGTGATCTTAGGTTTGTCTTGTGATATTTGACTTTTCAGGTATCTGGTCTCTGAAAGTGTGCCTTCGTTGCCCTTTTTTTCCCCCCATAATTTCCTTTTCATGTTTTACAAAGAACAAGTATGGATTTCAAACCAAGTGGATTTCAAACCAAGTTCTTTGTATGAAGGAGTGGTGTGATAGGCATGACAGAAAAGACTGTAATTGAATGAGACCATATACTGAATTGATTACACATATTTCTTGTGCCGAAGTTGTAATTAGCGTAATTAGGTTCTTGATTATAAGTATTCACTGAATATTTCCTTATTTAGAGAGAGATTTATTGCATCAGAAAAATGGATCACACCATGACAGCCTATGCCTTTTTTCCAAATAACAAAGTTATGGGCAGAAGACTGGAGGCACAGGAATTTTTAGCAGTATATTTAATGACGTAAAATGGGCATATAAAAATTCTTGCCCCTGATACATACGTGCTCTTTTGCCACTCTAGCCGTCAAACGCATCATCATACAACCGATCGCGGAAACGCTAATCTACAAGGCTTTCATTGCCTCAGAACATTCATAGACATAGACGTTCGTGGCGATACCAAGCACGGTTCCAAGCACGTATAAATCGCATCACACATGTCTAAATCGCATCACAAAAGCTTATTAACAGCACTCCATATGACCGTAGAGTGCACGGCCGCGTGGTAGGTGCAACCGCCGCGTAATGCACTTGCCGGCGGCGTTCGGTGACGATGCGCGAAATGTGTAATTACGATGACAAAAAATCGGCGCGCACTGCGCTTGACATCACATTTTCGAGTGACGACGCGTGAAACTGCTGACCACTGCTCCGAGCAATCCTAGGCAAAGGGGGGAGGGGTGCCGAGCTTGAGTATTGCTTGAGTATTGCTTTATTTCTTGCGAAGAAGCACGTCACTAAGAGTGCGCTAGCGCGTCGTTCCTGCCCGCCGTCTCGCTGTCAGTGGAGTTAGGGCTAAAGACGACTCCGATGACACGCCGCGCTCGTAGACCGCCGCGCGCCCGCTCGTAGTAATCTGATCGAGCATCCGGTGCGGCCACTCGAAGTAATCAGATCGTGCCGCCGCTTACAGCTTCGTTGCTTCCGAAAAAGCACGTCGCAACGAATGGGCTAGCACGTCGTTCCTGCCCGCAGTCTTGCTGTCGGCGGAGTTGGGGCCGATGACGCGCGGCGCTCGTAGACTGCGCTCCCGCTCGTAGTAAGCTGATCGCGCATCCGCTTACTGCTTGTAACTATAGCATAGTAATATCTTAAGTGATTATCAAGCCGTGAACACGTCACGAAGTGGCGATTTTCCAGAGCCATGTCTTCGCGACGCACAAGCAGCAGACGATGATCCTCCGGACGAGCATAGGGCCAATGGCGAGGCGAGCTGAGGCAACATGGCGGCCACGGCCAATCAAGGGCCTCAAAACTACCTTCAAACATTAGCTTTTTGCTCGCTTGTTGTTAAAGGGAGGAGCTAGCTGAGGCGGAAAAGTTAAACACGGAGAAATGCTCTTTCCGATGAGCCCAAGAAGCCGGCTCCCGGCCCAAGCATCGCGAAGCTATAATTTTTTGAAAATCGCCGACTGAAAACTTGAGTTTCAAAAAATCAATTTTTTCGCCATTTTTCGCGATCCCAAAGCCGCGTCCCCCCTTTAAACAATACTTACGCGACAAGACGATATGACGCTGCGAGCGCATGTGACCTTCATGCGGCTCGCATTTGGGTGTGCAGTGATATAAGGCATTCCAATTGGGTATCAACGCTGCGCGCCCCCAAGCCCGCAAAGCCCCAAGAGCTTGCGTACCCAGCACTAAAGCTTTGTACTAAAAAACATGATACTTTGGAGCAGCACAGAGCAGCATTTCTATTTTGGAACAGTTTAGAGCAATCATAACAGCACTCCCATCACTGTAAATATCAAATATGGATTGCAAGAGAAGACACCTGTGGGAGAATTCTGCAGCACAGACTAAGTAATGTAAAAGTAAGTTTAAACTGTGCACAGTGACTGCACAGCCAGGTGACTAACTCTAAAAATAACGAGCAAACACAATAGCCGAGCACTATTTTCTGAAGTAGGTCATTTCATTATCAAGCTACAGCTTCAGTTGGGAATGGGAACTCAAGCTATAACATGTGCCCAAGTATTTTGTTACTGCAATCCTTAAAATGGCATTCGTCAGACTATTTCAACTTGAATGACAAGACTGTACACGTCTCGGTTCACTGGGAAACGCAGCAGCTGTGGCGTCTGCCTCAGCGCCACCTAGGGTACAGGGCTTGCGCCTGAAAAATTTACTTGCCTTCTTCTTTGGTGGAGCACCGCATGGATCAAGTTCACTTTTGCAAAGCTCGCCTGACGCCTCGTACGGTCTCAACGTCAAGTTGAGCGCAGGGTTGCCTGGAACGGGTGTTGCCGATTCCAGACCCGCATGTACTCACACTCCGACTTTCCCGTCCTGTGGACCTTTCGACATTCTACCTCGAGTGTGCCGTGGCTGCAAGAGAAATAGCATTCGCAGGGGTGCAACAGCCAAAATAGAATTTGTAGAAATTTCTGGAGCCGCGCACTATAATCTAAGTTTGGAGCAAGTTATGGGGAATAAAAAAATTCATCATGAAAGATGATTGATTTGATTGAATTGTGGGGTTTAACACCCCAAAACCACGATATCATTATGAGAGACGCCATAGTGAAGGGCTCCGGAAATTTTGACCACCTCGAGTTCTTTTAACACACACACAAATCTGAGCACACAGGCCTACACATTTCCGCCTCCATCGAAAATGCAGCCGCCGCAGCAGAGATTTGATCCCGCGACCTGGGGGTCAGGAGCTGAGTACGTTAGCCCCTAGACCACCGCGGCGGGACTTATTATGAAACACCAAATTTGAAGCAGTGTAAAAAAAAGAAGGCTTCCATTTAGAATATATGTACAAAACATTCAACCCACCGAAATCGTGCAGAGAAAACATGAGCACTGCTATTTAAATAAAGGTAGCATTCTGAATTACTCCCCATAGCAAAAAACTGATGAAGCCCACAATTAGCATTTGCCGCGCCTGTCGAACCCTTTGACTGACTCTGAAAATTCAAATGTGGCTCTGCTAAGCTGGTGACCATGAAATTTGGGAGATTTTTTAAAACAAACTGTTGTACAAAATATTTTTTTTAAGGTCAGCAGAAATATCATTCGCTGCGCCTAATGATTGACAGCAACTTTTCAGACGTCAGCGGCCTGTACCAGTACCCATATATTATGCGAGCATACACACATCAGTAACTGAACAAAATGTGCTGTGTCCCGTGACTAGCGCTAACAGCCCATTCCAAATCATTACATTTTTCGCAGGACACTAGTGTACTGCGGCAAAGGTGGCTTAAGCACCGTTCTGCGCAGCTTAGAACAAGGCCACAGAGGAAGAAATAGTTTGGAGGTGAAACTCCCGTTAAAACGGGCATCGGCAGGTGCCCAGATAATGTCACATAAAATACAAAAATAACAAATAACCGACTGAGGCATTTGAGTTGACAGCGTCTTGCGGTGCAAACCTGCAACCACGAATAATAAAAGAAAAGGCAACGCTACCTGCCGAGTGCGGCTGAACGCGCTACGAATCCCGGCTTCCGCCGTGAATGCGGCGGAATGAGAGCAATACGCACAATCATTTCCCTCATCAACCAAAACGATAGAAATTCCCTTTTCTGCTTAAGACACCGCCAGCATAGTTTCGCTCTCCGGCAATAATGTGACATTATCTGGTCGCATAGAGAAGCAGAGTTGCACCTCTTAAATGCTTCTTCCTCCACGAACAAGGCCAAGCAATTTTCAACTCCCCTCAAATTCTGCCTCGACTTTTTTTCTCTCTCACGGTGGTGTTAGGTTTTGGAGCCTAATTTCTTGACTTGCTTGCAAGGCGCATTCGACCAGATAAAGTAACAACAGCGCGCGTACGTCAGCCTGGGGACTGGGCCGGATTATCTATGGCCAAGACAACGCAACTTCAAGCCAGAAGAATATTTACGTGTCGTTGCTATGGCAATTCAAGTGGTCGTTGGCAATGACGGCGATCGCAGCATGTATATCTCGTTCCAAGCGCGAAAAATGCTGCATACGTTCCTAGCGCGCGTCCGTCAGCCTGGGGACTGGGCCGGATATCTATGGCCAAGACAACGCAACTTCAAGCCGGGAAAATATTTACGTATCGTTGCTATGGCAATTCAAGTGGTGGTTGGCAATGACGGCGATCGCAGCATGTAGATCTCGTTCCAAGCCCGAAAAACGCTGCATACGTTCCTAACACGTCACAACACACAAAAAGACAGTACAGTCGTTCTCTTTTCTTGTGCATTATCTATTTGCACTCAAACCTGTTCCAGAAACTCTTGAGAAGCGATTTTCTGGGCAACGAAGTACTGCAGTTTCACACTAAAATGACACTACGTTTTTTTCACTAATAATTCGTGAATTTCAACTATGTAACACAAGTTTTTTTTCAACAGACGGTTCAAATTTGAGAAGCAGGAAAGAAACCTTCAGCAGTAATTTTTAACGAAAACAGTTCTTTACTTTCACAAAAAAAAAATTCGAAGATGCACTTTTTACGGATGAGGCCTGTTGTTCCAAAACTCATGACCACCACTATCTGTCCCGACGTGGGAGGGGCCCACTACGTGCTAGTTCACACCCAGACTGACATAAACAAACTTTTTTCTATACCAAAATGCGATCAACGCAGCCAGTATAGAACCTGCGTCTTTCAGGTCGGCAGCCGAGCAACGTAGCCACTGCGTCACCATGGAGACAGCCACCAGTCTCCTCTAGGCACACTTATGCGAGACTACAATGGCAGTGTTCAAAGCTGTGACCTAGATCTCAGCAGCACAACACAGCCACTCAACAATAGCAGTACGACAATCGCTGCACGCGTTCAGTTTTTAGTATACGAACACCCCTCGAGAAACACGACGCAAGGGGAGATGGGGGTATAGAAAGCCCACCTTGACCTGGTCGGGCTTTCCGTCACGGCAGCATTTAGGGGCACTCCCAGCTATTGGGCAAGTCATCGCTCACAGTTGCCTTGCAATCCCACGAGATGTGGGTTGCGCTCGGTTAGGCACGCTGGGTGCACGATCTCCCAGCACTGGGAGCACTCCATCAGTGAGGAACAGGCCTCCTGGTCCGAGCCAGGCTGCGGGGCGCCCTTCTCCCAGCCGTCCCGCCCGCACAGCATGCAGCACGCTGTGTGCGGAAGTACGGGCTGCCAGAGAGAGAGAGAGGGAAACGCGTGTGAATGTGCAACTCACACGACCTTCTTTCTCACTGCACTTTACGAACAGTTGATTGATTGATATGTGGGGTTTAACGTCCCAAAACCACTGTATGATTATGAGAGACGCCGTAGTGGAGGGCTCCGGAAATTTCGACCACCTGGGGTTCTTTAAGGTGCACCCAAATCTGAGCACACTTTACGAACAGTAAATGCAGCTGTACGACAAAGCACATAAAGGTGACAAGATGATATTCTAATGAGTGTTATTATTATTATCTTTGATGCATTGGCACTTCAGTCATTACTTTTGAATACTAGACCAAGTACAAAATGCAAACCAACAAGCGGCTGCCAGTAATATTCTCATGTCTGCAATGGCAAGAACCTTTCGTGCTGATGAACTTCTTTTGGTCCATTGCTATACACAGTCAAGAACAACAAAACCAAAAAATTATTGAACTTTGCAACTAATGCCCACCTTATTCGTGGCTGTACACAATAGAACATATGCCTCTGCATGTACACAGATTAGGAATATGTACAAGTGGCTCTGTTCTAAAGAAAATTTTAGAGTAGCATTTCTGTTTAGCAAAATCGCTTAACGATGCAATTACAACTGCCTCAAATTTCGGTGCTTTTGTATTTCATCACTGCATGCTTACAACATTGTCTTGGTAAGCAAACCTTACCATTGTATGGGACATTCCAAGTCATCGTAGGTTCCGTTTATTAACGATTGTAACACTCCAGATAATGCAAGGAAAATTTCTTCGCATCTGCCAGACTGACATTTCCGGAACTTCAGTGAGCTGCTACTGCGCCCGCAAAGGCTATCAACGCAAGTGCAGTTGTACAAGGGAAGCGAAGGGGGCCCACTCACAGCCATGCACTGGCGGCTGATGCAGGACTGCTTCATGCGGCCGGGCCCGCCAAACTTCTTCATGTCCTTGCAGAAGTGGCAGTCACCGCAGTCGGCACGCAGGCAGGCCTCGCACTTCTTGCAGCGCGTGCGCCGCCGCCGGGCCCCATTTTTGTCCTTGTCCGAGCCCCGCCCCCCCTTGGACGACCCCTTGCCTCCCAGCGGAGGTAGACCCACTCGCGGCTTGCTCTTCTTCTGCACCACAATAGAAAGTGGTTGGCAAAGGTTTTGAACAGACAAACTGCCATTTAGCCCAGAGACTAAACTGCTCTTTTGCATATACACTTAAGCATAGATTTAACGATACAGGATACAATAAAGTATCACTTATAGCGAAGTAAATGAAGCATATTGCAAAGTACAGTGTTAAATATATACCTTTATAACAAGTTTTTTAATATAACGAACTTATTTTGATGTAAGACGCAACATTGTTATAGTGAGGTTTGAGTGTAGTGTGTAGATCACTAAGAGGCTTCTTTGATAAGACACACCAACAAATCTTACTACTGATCTTAAACACATGATGCGAGGAATACGATCTATTTTTTGATTAGCACAGACATTGTAAGATTCCTTCACGATTTCCATCACTTAAAGCTAACCCTTGTGTAAAACTGGGATAATTGAAAGAACTAATCATGTTAATCAAGATGTTATAATTTGGGCATTTTTAGCATAATGTTGGAAAAGTGTATCTTCTAATCTACTACTGAGAAAAGTCAGCAAGACCAGAACTTTTTCTTTGTTCATGGTGACCCTTTTGCTGCTGTGGCATGCTGCTGCAATGACCTTACAGCTTCTACTTCATCCACGAAAATATGTCACGTTTCATATGACGCCTTTTCTTTAAGGAACAAGTTCTCAAACAGTGGCAGTATGCGTAAAACCCTTGCAGTGCACAGCCCTCCTGGCACTGTACAAAGTTATCGAGTGTGGCACAAAACCAGAAACCCTGCCGCCGAGGAGTTTGGCAACGAGCAGCACGAAATTCCCCAAAAGTGAAAACATCTTTGCAGGTGGCCATCGGAGATTACCAATGTCCAAGGGAAGTGCTACCTCGAATGACGATGAGTGAACTTGTATCAAATCTTTGATTTCTTGATTAAGGTCAAATTTTCTTCTATTACACTAGTCTCACCCCAAATCTGCGGTCTTATTGTTACTCCCCCCAAACACCCAGCAACATTAAAGAAGCCCCAGCATTATCGTTGAGTAAATAAATGAAGCGTGTCGTAGCCCATCACTACGACTGCTCCAAGAATAGAAAACAAAGACAAATAAATAAATGTGAGAAGACCGCTGCCTTCAGTTACGGTGAGTGAAATTACCATTACCTTGCTCTCAGACCAGAACAGCACCGGTTTGTCAGTGATTGCAAGCACTGGATCATCATGCTTGTGTTCCTTTACCACAGCGCTGAAAGAGTGAAGAGAAGTGGCATTAAACACATAGTCACAAGTGTAAGAAGTCTAATAGGAGAAATCATTAAGAGAGATGGATTCGAACACTAGTGATACAATGCTAGTTCTCCGGGGCATTTCAATAAGACCAAGCACTCCTCCACAGTAGTCATCATAAACTGCACTGCCGTAGCGGCAAAGCTGTAGACAAGCTTTTTCGTGAACGCAGTATATCATAGTATTTGTACACAAGCAGCTCGTATGGTTTTCGGTATGTGCAGTCGAACCCTGCTACAACTAAATTGCAGAAAAAAAAATTTGTTGAAGCGAGAATTTCATTGTAGTGAAATCGAAAAGGCATAGCTGACCTGAGTTAGCAAAACAAAGGAACTTTTAATCCCCAAAAAGCGTGGGCTGCTTGCTTTTCGTTCCCAGCAGTAGTCATGATGGGATTCTCACACATGCATGAAGAACACCACATTGAAAAGCACGCTAAAACAATGGCCACAACGGCTTTGTGAACGAACTTAGCAGTTTCACTAACACGCTAACACTAGCAGCTGTCTGTTGTCATGTTGTCAAAGTCAGACAACGCCCAGATGGAAAGCGTGGTATCATGGAGCGGTGACTTGTGCCTTATTGTATGCTTTTCTTATCATCCAATAGTCGGGGCTGGCTGATTTTGTGACCACACCAGAGACCACACTGCCGAAGTGCAAAAAGAACCAAGAGCTTTGGCATCAAAAAAGGCATTGTTCCGCGATTGCATGCAGCAGCAGCATGTACAAAACTCAATGAACTGAAGAACTAAGCTTTAGCTTCGGATTGGCTGTGGTTCAGAAGCAAGCTGGACACAAAAGCAGAGCACTCTCATCGCCATCGCTATCAAGCAATGGCGGCCCACATGTAAAACGGCTGCGGTTTCTGGTAGTGTCAATGCGCATTTTAGACTTTGTAGATGTATTTTTATGTTCTGAAAATGCATAAAGATGTTCACGATTTCGTTTACTGTATGGAATTAAATATCCCGAACATGGAATTTCATTTTCATATTTTGTTGAAGCAGAAGAAAAGATGGTCTTTGTGGCTAGAATATTTATGCATTGACTCCTATGAACTACTGACGGAGAAATAACTATTTTGTTGTAGTAGGAAATTTTGTTGAAGCAGCCTTTGTTGTGGCAGGATTCGACTGTACAGTACTCACAGATAGCAAAGCACCAATTTAAAGCTAAGTAAGGCTTCTACTTTCGTTCCCACCATTTAAGTGCAAGGAGCAGCAGTACTATTTCACCTCAAACACTTGAATCAGAGCTAACATCACCTTAACGCAGACAGATTCGCAGCATAACGCAGTTATCTCGATCAATTCCACATGCCAGTGCAATTTTAATCAGTGAGCGCTTTTCCGGAAGTGTAGCCATACTTATGGTTATATTCGCAAGGCTCGAGACGCTTCCACCAGTAATATCTCCCTACAATGCTTTGCAAGGCGTAAATCTTTGTTTACAAAGGAGCCGGTAATTACAATCGAGCTTTTTCACAAGCATGCTGCGCAAACAACGCACCTTTGCATCCGCAAGCAGCGCATCAGGATCCCTCACCAAATCTGGGACAAACTTCTTGTTGGGTGGCAACTTTTGAAGCCAGCGGATTATCATCTGCAGAAAATGACAGCACAAAAAAATGGCAAAAAAAAAACACATTTACAGCGGCTTCCTAGCTAGCTGTTCCAAGTGTCCAGCCCAAACACACTGGAGTCGCTAACGCTACAAATATCCTCGACACACAAAACAGCGATCGCTACAATAAACGGACGTTTTAATGTATTAATGCACCACTCCTGTCACACTTGTAGCCCACATGCTAATTGTAACCGTGAGGCAAGCGATCAGACATGTGTCAGCTGGTGCTTGGCACAATGGTGTACGCTAAACTGTGTTGCATTTTGTATGCAAAACAGTTGACCCGGTTGCACACAGTTGGAACAGTCTGCAGCCAGGTATATTCTATTTATGACAGACAGGCAAAATTTGCTCAAGGTTTTTTTCTATTGTACTTGAAGGTCCATTACAGCTAGATCAGCGTTTGCTGCATCGATAACATGGGCACACGAAACTAAGCGAGAGGATTATCTTTTATTTCTGAAAATATATGTTGCGTGCACGCAGATACATCTTAAAGCTTGTTGATCGTACCTTCTCTCCAATTACAGTGCTTCTGTAGCAGTCATAAAATAGACGTTAATAGTTACTAGACTTTGTTGCATGTACTTTAGTTTCTTACAATAAGCATCCTTTTCCCAACATGAAAACAGTGTTTACGAGAGTCTGTGCACCACTGAACAATAACGGTTATAAATAAAGGTACACCCTTAATGACAATTTTGCTTCTTTAAACACTCATTTCTCTTGCGTACCATACCATAAACTGATAATTCATGCTACGTAGTCATGCTTATCAGCAGTAGACCCGCCACCCATTTTTGTGAGATGATGAAAACACTTTCCCGACTAACCCGAAGTCCATCCACCTCTCTCCGAGTTAAGTGCACGTGACCGGGGGGAAACGTCCGGCGGCACGGTTCTTCTGCAGAGTCCAGCGAGTCCTCGTTGGGCACTGTAGGGCTGTTGGCACCGGCCCCGTTGGACTTGGGCGACAGTGTGCTCAGGTCCAAGAACGAGCTACCATCGAAGGAGCGACCACCTGTCGACCCTGGCTGCTGCTGCGCTTGTCCAGAAAGCAAACATGCACACGTTTCGACACCCTCTCCTGCGTGAGCATAACAAACTTGTAAACCTGTATATTTAAAGATGTCATATCCTGCAATAGGACTATGTAGCAAATGAAACTACATTGTGTGCTCAATAAATTGTCTCTTAAAAGAATAATGGAGAAAAAAATTACTTTTCTCGTACAGGTGAAGCCCTTTACAGAAGCCACTGATGTAAGAGGCAATTGGGTATAACAGACATCAGTGTCCCTACATAAAAGTAAGAGTTGATTGGAAAGTGAGATCGTGGAACCCTGCTTATAAGAGATAACTCATTTAAAATACAAGAACTGCTTTCCAGTGTGCGTCTCTTATCAAGGGGTTCGGCCAGACTAGCACGTTATTTCACCATGACAAAAACCACACACAAGACACTCCAAGAAATCGTGCAATAAGAAAATTCAGTGGTGATGCCACTTTGATATTCCTGCACCACACGATGTAATGTCTTAGATTTTGATGGCATATACTAGGTCCTACATACCGTATTTACTCGATTCTACCGCGCCCTCGATTGTAACGCGCACCCGATTTCCACGACGAATAAAAAAAAGTAAGACATCGCGCACACATTTTTCTCGCTGGCCTGCACGATCACACTACTCGAAAAAACAACTCCTTTCGGGAGCGTCTTCCATTTAAATATGAGGTACGGGGGAAGCCTTTGCCCATCTGACATGTAATAGAGCATTGCCGTCACTGTAGTTTTACCGTGGACCGATGTCAGCACGCAAACTTTCTTCGCCCCCTTCTTCTCGACGGTTGTGGTGCCAGGCATGTCGAAGTAAAGCGGCGTCTGATCGGCATTCCCGATTTGCCCAACAGGTAGCCGTTGTTGTGCCACAAGTTTAAGACGAACCTCTGAAAACTGTGAAGCTTTTCATCGTACCCCTCCGCAAAACTTTTCGCATATACCCATTCACCTTCGGAGGGGAAAGCCTTTCCTCTTCATAAAGTTAGTTAGCCAGCACCTGCTCGCTTTAAACTGGCTCCGCGTTAGACCTTTTTTTAAGGCTAATTGCATAGCCCGCATTTGGAGCAGTTCTGTCGTCATGGGCCGCAGTGCCGCTCGCTGCTCAAGCACATACTCGCCGAGCAGTTCTTAAATTTTCAGAAACCGCCCCTTGTGGTCCACTGAAGCCTTTGCATGAAGCTTTGCTGTCGACAATATTCTGCTTTTGTTTCCACCAGTCCCGCACTCACATTTCGGGAACTCCGAACGAGTGATGCGGCCCGATTTCCGTCCGTTTCTGCACATGCGATGACTTTTCTTTTAAAAGCGGCATCAAGGTGCACTCGAGTTTTTAGAGTCTGCCCTTCCATGCCGTCGATGCTAATGCACTACAAGATGAACTCCTCAGCACACGTACGAAGTGCTGCACATGGGAAACACGTAGGCAGAAATGGCCGACGCGCCATGCCGATGCACGTATGGGGCGGCCATTTCGGAATGCCGATGGCAATAGAGCGACCGTATTCATGTTTTTTTTCGTACTAGATTCGAACGCGCATGCGATTTATGAACTCGCTTAACCGGAAAAAAGGTGCGCGTTAGATTTGAGTAATTACGGTAGTTCCCAATTGGTAGCAACAAAAAGCATTGTCTTCGGAATGGGCCAGAAACTCAAAATACCAAAATTCAGGCAATTTTGCCGAGCCAATGTGACCAAAGAGCAAATTAATGTATCTGCATGCGAAATGAACCCACCCCCACCTCAGTCCTAGAAAAAAAGAATTTCTTTAGTGAACCTGCGCATTTTATTTTGGTGCAATGACCAGTGCTGTTGCCGAGCGAAGCAACGTTAAATCACGCCAATATATCACAAAATAATGCTGCAATCAAAGTCGCGACATAATTTAGCAACAGTGCTGAGCAGCGTAAGAGCGGACGCTGTGGATAAAAAATTTGAAGCCCCACCTTTTTCAGCAGAGTGCCATCTGTCAAACGCAGAAGAAACCTTCGCCATATACCGTATTTACTTGAATGTAACGAGAGTTTCTTTCAAAATTTCTCTGAAGCGATTTGGGGGTCCGCATTAGTATCGAAGCACCCCAAATCGTGCATTTGTGGTGCTGCCCCACTGGTTCCTTAAAATGGCTACGACAAAGTTAGCGATCTTTGAACCTTGTGCCGGCAACATATGCATTCTGGCAAAATCGAATTGAATCCAATGCAATCCTATTGTTTGCGACGTGCACATGGCGACGTGTTTCGTGGGCAATTGAATTCCTTTGTGCGTCCGTGACTGCGGCTGGAGCAAATGGCAGCGCGACGAATTCCGTATGAAGCCCGCTTCAAGAGAAGTGCAATACTGATGGCTGAGGAAATCGGGAACTCAGCCAAGGCTCGGCGGCTAGATGTGGCGAAATCTACTATCCGTGGGTGGAGGCTCCAGCGTGAAGTTCTTTTCAAGAGTGAGCCCGGCCGAAAAGGCTTCCGTGGACCTCGTTGTGACGGTCACACAGAACTCAAAAAAAAAAAAAAAAAGTGGCAGAGTTTGTGATTGAGCAGCGAAATCGCCTATTGGGGGTCAACGTTGAGCTGATTCAGTGGAAAGCCCGAGACGTAGCTCGAGAGACAAGAATCCCGCGGCAGAACTTTAAGGCTTCACGTAGATGGGCACAAAAGTTCATGCAAAGAAATGAATTTTCCCTCCGACGAACAAAGTCAATAAGGCAGAAGCTACCAGCAGATTGCAAAGGGAAGCAAGTGAAGTTTCAGCGCTATGTGCTTAACCAGCACCGCTGTTCACAAATGCCGCTGGGGCACATTGGCGATGCGGACCAGACTCTTGTTTTCTTGGAGATGCCTATGTCAAGGACTGTCAACGAAACAGGCGCCCTGTAAGTACACATAAGGACAACAGGCAACGAGAAGACTCGGCTAATTATGATGCTAGCCTGCTTGGCGGATGGGCGCATACATCATTTTTCGGTGCAAAACCATCTTGAAAGAGCCGTTCCCCAGGGATGTGATTGTCCCCTGGCAAGAAAAAGGTTGGATGGACACTCCGTTTATGCTTGACTGGGTCAAGACTGAGTGGTGCCGATGGCCAGGTGCGCTCCTCCACCTCGTCTCCATCCTAGTTCTCGCCTCATTTCGCGGTCACGTGATGCCCGAAATGAAGAAGCTGATGTGAGAAACTCAGACGCAGCTTGTCGTTATTCCCGGAGGTATGACGTCCTTCTGCAGCCATTAGACGTCTGCCTGAACAAACCATTTAAGGATAGAATGCGGCAACTGTACGGACAATGGATGCGAGAAGATCAGGCTTGGACACTTACGAGTAGAATAAAACGTCCTAGCGCCGCGAAGATTGCCGAGTGGGTGTCCGCAGCTTGGTACGGCCTGCCGTACATGATAGTTCGCACGTTTAAAAAGTGCTGCATATCGAACAATATGGATGGCACAGAGGATGACCTCATCTGGGAGGAAAAAAGTGAGAAAGAGGGCTCGACCACCAGCGATGATGGCAATGAGAGCCACGAATGAACAAAACTCACTTCATACTTAGAAACTGGGATGCCTTTGCCACCACCATGTGCAGCAAATAAAGGCACTTTTTACAGCGAAAGCTGTTATGAGATGACTTTTCGGGCCCCGTGCAGCTGCATATTGTCCGCCGCCACCGATGTCCATAACCACATCACGTGAAGTTAGAAACAATGACCTAGCACCAATGGCACAGCGGGGCTCGAACCCGGGTCTGCTCGGTGCCAGCCTAGTATTCTACCACCGAGCTACAGTGGTGCTTGTGACTTGTCAAACTTGCCTTAGGCAAGCTTGATGTCGGAAAAACAATCTCGTTAATACAACTTATAAAGAGAGTTAAAAAAGCAAAATAACAACCAGCCGTCACACAATGCAATTAGCTTAACGAGTGGGCCGTCCGATGCTCCAACCCATTACAAAAGTTTGTTATTGTTTCTCTATTAGCTGGGGCGTATACCCACTACAGCCATAATTCATCATCATCAGCCACTGCATGGAGAATTGGCACAAAATTCCTTGCAAGTGTTTAGAGGATACCACACTTCTCAGAAGAATGACGTAAAATAGCATAGCGAATGCCAGCCTATTGCCCAAAAGTTTATTATTAAAGCCATAGTGGTTATCAAGCAAGTGTGCTTTGAGTGTTTTCAAGGCTCTGAAAGGCCGCTTTTCTAGTTTTCACTGTGGCTGTGCTGCGCCTAACGCACAGGCCTGGTGCCCCCCCCCCCCCCCCAACTTAACTTGCGTTACATTCTAGTTTTTTTTTTTTTTTTTGCACTGAAAAGTCACCTTTCACGTTACAATTGTGGTCGCGTTACATTCGAGTAAATACGATAGCGCCATGCAAGCACAGCAACGCAAAAACAAAAACAAAAAAAGTGCAACCGCGTCTACCACGCAATGTGCGTGCACCGCCATTCGATGCTGCGTCTTTGTTGGCGGTCAGCCAGAACGCTAGCAACATGGCCGGTTTTAAGCTTAAAGTTAGTCGAGCATGCTCTGGAACATGGGAATCAAGCGGCTGGATGACTCTTTCAGCATCAATCAGTGCACGTAGGCCTGTACACGCGCTGTCCGCAAGGCCGCGCCGCACTTGCTGTAGATAGTACGTGTACAGCTTTAGGCTAGAAAAAAGGTACATCGTGCATTTCGCGGGCCAAAACAAGGAGAGTTTCTATTTGTGGAGAGTGGTTGGACAGCATGTTTTTAATACGGCCATGCAAAATTTTTGCTGTTATAACTCTTGACTTCTCCTGCGTCATGAACCCTTCCCTTTAGTTAGCATTAACTTAAGGGGGGACGTGGCAAGTAAAACTAATTTTTTTATTAATGTACTGTTTGTGATGAAATTTGGTGTGTGTATGTGGATGATTGTGAGGATTCCAAATATGAAAACCGTTTTCAAATACCTCTTGTACTTTTTGAGTTACAAGCATAATTATACTAATTAATGCTCTTCACACTTAAAGAGATAATTATTGCTAAATGAAATTATTTTTTCATATTATTATGTTCCCAAAGCATCAACTTGTGCAAAGAAGCTATTAGTTGATTTTTCTAGTTCTTGTAACCATAAATAAAATTTCCAAAACATGGATGTTGTTTTGCGCACACATCGCAGTAATTATAAAATGTGTTCTAAAAATTTTAAATGATGAGTAAGAAGAGAGATAAAGCTTTATTGCACTGCTAAAGGCCTCCTGAGCCTAGTGCAAAAAACGGAACGACTCTATCAGTCTTTGTTAGAAAATGACAGATGTTCTAGCGTAGGCACATAGGCGAAAATCAAGAGTTGAGAAAACTGACTTTGAAAGTTCACTCTTGTTTGGAAGTTCACAACATGCCTAAAACACTCAGAATCCTCCTGGGCAGTAATCCTGAGATGCTGTGGCCTTGGCCTCTGTAGAGCGCAACCCAGTTTTGCGCTTCTTTGTCGTGGAACAATGCGCCTTTTGAGCCCTCTTTACCCTTTTGGCATCCTTTTCGGCTGCTCGCCGCAAAGAGCAGTCTCCTGGATTGAAGCCCAGTTGAGCAGTGATCTCTTGCAGCGCACTCTTGCAGCCACCATTGAAACGGCAGACTGCATCTGCAACTGCACTTTCCACACTTCGAAGGGAGGCGAACTGGCTCTTCGACTGGAGTGACCAAATGAGGCTGTTCATACTCTCCACAGCGTTCTGGGTTTTTCCCTGCGCACACCTTTCAAGGAGCTCTTTGTTCGAGAGGCGCTTGTAGATTGGCAGCAGTGCCACTCGCACGTGAGGGGGCAGTTTATGTTTGTGAGGCGGCAGCGGCTCTCCCTTGGCCAATGCCTGATTGTGCGGGCACCAGGAGTCAGTCCCACTTGGGCACAGGTCGTGGTGTGGATCCTGGTCTGTGGATGTTACATGGTAATAAGTGGCCATGATGGCCCTCTCCATGCCAGGAACCTCGTTGGGGTGGCTCTTAATGGCCCAGCCATAATAATTCGTCAACTTCTTTATAAGGCCCTGCGTCAGCCGGCCTTTGCCACCCATGCTCAGTCCTCGGCCTTTGGATTTGTGCTCATCAAGAAGGTTGCGCAAGGAAGTGCCCATTCTTTTTTTCACATGGTTCACACACTCCTGTTTCTTAATCAACATGTAGCCATACACCTTGTCTTGCGTGAGGGCAAGGTACGTACGGCTGTCACCGTCGCAGAGCACATTGATATATCGAAGCTTGTACTTGGTAAACGATCTTTCAAACATGATCCTCGCTGCTTCTACTTCCATTTGGCCTGCATTAGCATCGGTGTTCTTTTGTCACTGTGGCTTGTGTTTCTCAAGCCACTCCTCATAGTTGTCGTCACCAGGCTTGGGGCCAACAGCACAGCCTTGGCAGTAGTTGGACAGGACACAGTGGTCCAAGACCAAGCCTGTGTACAGCTCGATTACACAGCCCACGCCAATATGACTTCTGTGCCCCCTCGTCATCCACGTGCCGTCGTAAATGACGTCAATGTTGCCTGGCACTCCTCCTAGGTCCTTGTAAATGTCATGCACCTTCTGTGCACTTTCTGCTTCAATGCGGGTGGCAGCTGATGTAGTGGCAGGGTGGCTGTACTTCCTTTGCAGTCTCTGGTAGGACTTGTGGTGCAGTGCTCGATGCGAAATGTCCATCGCAGAAAAAATGTCATTTATGGCAGATTGTTTTCTGCCAACTGACTGCACAGCCCTCAAAGCACGCACGTTTACCTCAAAGGGGTTCGTTTTTTGTTGCCCGGAGCACCTCGGGGACGACCACGCACTGTTCACTATGCCACAATTGTCACAAAAAAGTTCCATCCTCGCCGCAAGTCCAAGGCAGTGCGTAGTCTCGAGGCGTATCGACCCTTCGTCGCACTTGTTGCACTTTACTGACGAAAGCAGACCGTTCAGCATCTTCTTATTTACAATGAAGAATGTGGAGTCCTTACCGCCGTCATTTTCGTCGCAGCCTTCGTTCAGAAGCTCGAGCTTCCGCTTTGAAGCGGACTTCGATGCTACGGCATCCAAAACATCCCGCCTTGTCTGCGCCCGCTGCGCGATTTCTTCACTGCTCGGAATCTGGGCCGAAACTCGCGATAGAATGTTCGACGCGCGCACGCCCGGAGTTGCAACGGCTGCCGACGCGGTGCCACCGCAATCGGGTTCGCGAGAGCGTCCATCACGGTCGACGGCATCCGGCGGTCTGACATACGACGATGTGGCACCTTCCACACTCTCGGCCTCACAACAATCAGCGAAGGGTCTGAGTAGAGGCTCCGTGACGCTTGAAGAGCATGCTCCGTCCGGAACTGCGACTGGGACGGCAGCCGCAGTCGTCTGCCCTTTGTTCCAAGCTTTCCGACGCTTGCCGTACTTGTGGACGCTCCGGAACTTTTTTTGCGACAACATAGCACCGCAGTATGAGCAAGCACTCAGAAGAGACCACCGATGTAAACAAAGCTTGGTAAAAAAAGCACGCGAACTATCACAAAAACAGCAAACTGGCAAAAAACGAAGCGCACGCCGGATGATTCTCGACACGGCGGCCGCAGATGCGCTCGCGCTTCCAAGGTTGCCAAGGTGCGCGGCGCAGCTTTGACCAGTAAGAGGTCGCGCCTGCTACCACGTGACCCGCGTAGCCAATTGCCGTTCTTCGTTTTCGTTTTTTTACTTGCTCCTCGCGCTTTTATTTTCACTCGGCGAAATACGAGACCGCGACCATCGGGAAGCCGGCTTTCTCCTCTTTCCAAAGCTACCAAAATGGCGGCCCACGGTCAACAACTTGGCGCGTTTGTGCGGCGTGAACAACACCGTTTCAGGGGCTTTTTTTTCGCACTTTTCGGCGACTAGCCTCGGCAAAAACACTATTTGCGGGATTTGTAGCGCACGTTTCGCTGTAATATTTTAGAACAAGGAAGTTGAAGGTCTGAAGATTACGAAAAAAAATAAATCAGAAAATCGCATATTTTGACCAAAATCGGCACTTTACTTGCCGCGCCCCCCCTTAAAAAAAAAAAAAATGGCGCATTCCTTACACGAGTAAATACAGCAAAACTTTGAAATCCATGATGTCACTAGAAACTTCAGCAGGAAATAAAAAAGCAATAGCTTAAATATTGATTTTTATTGTCTATTATTGAATCTATGGCAGTGAAATTAATCATGCTGGAGTTTTCAGAGTATAATTCATCCGTGTAAAGTAAACGACTTTCACTAAAGGGTCCCTTAAAGAACCTTGTGGGGTCTCACAATAGGGCACCACACACTAAGAGCGAACGGACACAGCAGACGCAGTCGAATAAAACTAGAACAAAACAATTATTGAACTACTTCCACATGAACGGTATCGTCAACCGAATCAAATATGTCATTAGTCCATGTTAAAACAACCTTATACAATATTGCAATACACTCAATCAACATAATCAACAAACGCAAGGTAACGCGACTGTGGCGTCATCAACAATCGACTCACCATGAAGAACCCGCGGGAGACTAATGTGCTGCCACCCAGCCTCACCGCAAGGCATCACTTCTAGCGCTAGCTAGCGCCGACCATGATGATGATGATGAACTCTCATGCGAGCACAACGGCACCTACCGCTTGATGGTTGTCAACACTAAATGTGGCCTATTCGCGAGACGCGCCTGCGCCACGAGGTGCAAACAACTTTACAGAGGGATGATAGCACCCCCATAGCCTCTATCCCGACTTGCCTGCATCTGTTGAGAGTTCCCCCTTTTGCCAACATCGACAGGGTCGCCATCCTCATTGCATGTCAGGTGGTTGATGCCGAGAAGGCACTGGACGTAGCGCTGCAGCACATACCACAGCATCTCACCGTAGAAGGGATACCGGAACTTGATAGGCACCTGCAATGTTGAGCAAGCAGACACTCATCTGCTCGTGAACCTTGCCCAAGACGTTAACGAGGCACTTTCGCTTGGCCATGTTGCAAAGGTTTTCGTACTGAGGAAGGCAAGAAAATTTCAAGTCTGGCTGCTTCCCACATCTATTGCTCCCTTACTCTCTTTCGACCACGTCTGAACTGCCTGAGTAGCGGTGATCTTAGAGAAAACTAAAACTTGGATTGTTTAGTTCCAGGACATGCATACAGCGGTGGTCGAAAGTGCGACAGTGAAATGTCATGGAGGGCTACCAAAGCTGGAGCTCACTGTCCCTCAAGGTTTTAGTGCAATAAACTTATGTGCAGTTCGAACTTCGCTAATGCTTCTTTCTTTAAAAGTAGGAGGTGTGAGAATATTTGAACTTTCGAATCATTACAATAGTGTTTGCTATTTAGTTTGATTGCCATCAGAATTACTAGTATCCAAAGCATCTTGACTTTCAGAAAGTAAATGTAACGGTACAATTTTCTAAAAAAGCATTCAGACTGAAATTCAACTCGCAACGGCTACACCCAATAACATCTGACAACCCACAATGCAAGCCCTACTACTCACATGCGTCGCATCTTCAATCTGGCAGATCTGCAACTGCTTTTCAATTCCATAGCTGTGGAGAAAGTTTCCGCCAAACACCAGTGCATCCATGGGAGTGTAAACAGCATGAATCCATCCTGTTAGACATCAACAAAAACGGAAACAAAAACATTGATACAACTTCAGCTTCATAGTGATGAACTACAAGCCACCCTCGATAAAAGACATCTAGAAATCAAAACACAGAATAACTGGTTAGAAAACCTCGAGAGATTAAAGGAAAACGAGCTACGCAAATATGTGCATGGCAAACAAGCATTACAGCCAGACCTGCATAAACCGAACTCGCAAAAAGCAGGAATTGGGTCGATATTTCACATAATTTGATAAACTATAAATGAACTTTTCGTAATTTCCTTGTGCAGGCTGGCTTCATGGCAATACACGACACACACACACACACACACACACACACACACACACACACATACATAAATCTATATTTTCCTGCAGTAGGTAGATATAGGAGCATGTAGTCACAGTGGTTGGTTATATGTAAAAAAATATAGCAGCAATGTAAACAGCGTATCACATAAAAGGCTACTCTTTACTTTCTGAATACATGCACAGCGGTGCATATATCAGCTTGAAACATAACTTCTGATTGCATTTTCTTTTACTGCAATAGCAGTTGCATAGACACTCCATGCGCATTTTCGCTCTCGGCATCATTGTCTATTCCCTATAAAGTCTCCCTCGCACAAACATGCACGAGGAGGTGGGTGGGACTGAGTACGTCTAGCAGAAAAGAAGTACAGTAGAATCTCGATAATATGAATTCAAAGGGAGCGTGTAAAATATTCGTATCGGCCCGAATTTGTATGAACCACAAACAACTTAAAACTTGACTAACAAAACCCAGCCTGCAATTTTTGAATGTCAGAATTTTCATGTCAGAACGTGTCCAGTCTGTATGGGAGAAATAACGTAATGGCAAGTTTAGTTAGCAACAACTTTTCTTCCCAGCAGTGTGAAAGCTACAGAACCAAACTGCATGACTCCTTTAGGGCCAAAAGAAAATAATATTAATAATGAATTTTACTGACAATCTCCTCATTGGCTTCGCTGAAGTACATGCAGCTTTAATTATTACGAGATTCCAACAATTGTAGAAAATCTCAAGAAAAAAAAAAAATCGCAGCGTATGTACGAAGTGAACGATGACGCATAAGCGAAGCTTTGGGCATGCATTACCCCCGTACATTGCCCACTCGGTCATGCAAAGATGTGACAACACATGTGTACAGTATATACAAAGTTGTTTATTAATCACAACATGCATACGCTGTTCAGATGTATATATGGATATTCATATACTAGATATCCATGTGGATATGGATTCCGATATATGAATAAAAATATTCATTTAACCCATACGGACATTTATATCCATATGGGTCATACGAGTATTCATATGGATATCTAACGCGTCATGCTGACAGACAGGGAACATGGCTTGACCCTAAGAAACTTTGCCCCTAATACAGTTACTGTCGTTCACTTTGCAGGAATGCCTTCCTTTTCTTTCCATTTCTTAGACAGCACCACGTTTTCAGCAAACCCATTTTCCGAAGTAACCATGGCTTCCATGACGCAGTGGGTCAGTGTGCAACCACAAATATGTCTTTTGATTTTCGAAAAAAAGTTACAATATAATCTCGATACGAATTCGAAGGGAGCATGCAAAATATTCGTATCATCCAGAATTCATCCAGAATACAGCTCATCATGAAGATGAACAAGAACTTTATTGGGATCAACTACTACTTGCTGAAAAGAAGTTCATTATGTTCTTTTGAACTTTCCCGCCTTCACCGCCTCTCAATAAAGAGCCACGGTTTTTCACTTGTGCTGGCGATATTATGCGCAATCACACTTTGCCTCAAAGGCAGCGAAAGCGGCAAAACTTATTGGAAGTTCACTCACTTTGCCGTCTAATCAGCCAGCAAAGTGGAAATGAAAAAAAAAAAAAAAAGCAGTCCTGGAGAGTTCACACTCAAAAATTCAAGCGAAAACGCCACAGCTGCCGCAAAACCACGTTCTCGCCCGTTGAAAATGTTCACACTCGCCGCTTGAGAATTTATTCCTGATCATTAAAATCCGCACAGAGATCTAGTTATGCATTCAAAGCACTGAAAAGAAACAGCTTACACCTTTACAAACGTTGCTTCGGGAAATGCCGTATTTACTCGAATCCTAGGCCAAACCCGATTTCAAGCTGACCCCCAAAAGTCTGAAGACCGGGGAAAAAAAAAAAAAAAAAACTTATCTCGAATGAAGGCCATACCAAACAGAGAAAACAGTTCACAAAAAGAAAACAGTTATTGGACATGAAGATGAAACACAAGGAGTTGGTTCACGATGCAAGTAACTTGAGAAACAAAGCCCTTAGTCCTGTTGAGTGCGTTTCTTTGTCGTAGTTCCCCCCCCCCCCCCCCACAGCTTCTAGTTACAGTCGAATCTCATTGATTTGAACACACTTAAGGGGAGACACTGGTCCATAAATTTTTTTTTTTCAGTATTTTTAGCTAAAATTTTCATTATATGTATTTTTCACAACTGAAAACAAATATGCAATCAGTTTTTTTGCTATCCCTTCCAGATTTTCAAACATTGACTGTTACATAAACTTGCATTCTGCCCAGCACTTTGACACCTTCTTCATAAAATACTGCTACAAATTAGATATGACAGCATTCTGTGAAAGCCAATGAGTGCAACAAAATCATAATTTTATTTTTAGCTTCATTGGCAGCAGAGTTATGACCTTAGCAAGTATAATTATGAAAAATTTGATATTGTTGCTTAGTTTTGTTGGTAATTAAATTGCTGTTCTGAATAAAAATACCTAATTTTTTGTAATATTGCACTAATCTATGTATACGCTTTTAAATGCTGCAAGAATGATCAAAATCCAACAGTTGCATCAAAAGATATTGTGAACAATGGCTTAGGATGAGATGAAAAATGTTGTGAGAAAAGAAAAAAAAAAGTTTAAGAACATGCCTAGCATTTATTTTTGGGGAGAGACGCCAGTCATAAAAAATTTTTTTTTTTTCGATTTTGAGTATTTAGAGCTGAAAATATTATGAGATGTGCATGGTTCACAGCCTAAAACAAATATGCGATAAGTTTTCTGCTGTCCCTTCCTCATTTTAATATATTGACTGTTCCATAAACGTACATTCTGCCCACTGTTTATACAGCTTCCTCATAAAATATTGCTGCAAATTAGATATGGCAGTGTTCTGTAAATATGTGCAATCGATGCATGTATAGAAGCACATGAACTTATAGGAGAATAACTTTTCCATTCTAAGACTACATCCTGTCTCACACTACTTTTCTAATCATCTAGGTGAACACAAGTTCATATTTTGCACTCATGAATATTTGGTCGACGTTTGATTCGAGTGTATGTGCTTTTTCCTTTCAGGCGGAATCTGAAAGTCATAACATGTGGGGTTGGTGTAAGACTTCATCATATTGATACATAACAGCCGTTAAACATGGCTGCATGAAAGAGGACGAAGTGAGTTGCGTTTGATGCTGGACTGTTGCCATCTTGCTCGTCGAGTTCTGAGCGTTCTAAATAGATTATTAAAGAAGTTACTCATAACATAATTGGTGGAGGTGGATGACCCCGTACCTCGATGCAGACATGCAGCGGTCGCACCATCGGCGACCTTTCGACTGCTTCGACTGCTGGTACTTCCTCTACGCTGCCCTCATCAGTCCAAGCCACCACCTACGTCACACTTTCGCACCTCCAGGATCCAAGCACTTTCTCCGGTGATGGTACGATCGATCTTGACACTTGGCTGAACCGGTATGAGCGCGTCAGTGCTACTCACCGCTGGGATCCCACGCTCATGCTCGCCAACATGCTTTTCTACCTGGACGGCACTACCCGAACATGGTTTGAAAGCCACGAAGCCGACATAACGAGCTGAGATCTCTTCAAAGAAAAGATACGCGACCTGTTTGGCGATTTATCTGGTCTTCAGCTCGCTGCGAAGAAGACTCTTGCCACACGGGCCCAGTCTTCTACAGAATCCTACGTGTCCTACATTCTTGACGTCTTGGCCCATTGTTCCAAGGCCGACCAGTGCATGTCGGAAGACGAAAAGGTTAACCACGTCTTGAAAGGCATTGCCGATGATGCTTTCAGCCTGCTGGTCTTTAACAACATCTCAAGCATCGACACCATCCCTAAAGAATGCCGACGTCTCGAACAAGCTAAAGCCCGCCGCATAGCCCAAAGCATCGTGCGCCTTTCGAACGCAGCGGCCACTTCTTCGTGTGACGACGCCTTCCACCAGGCCCCTCGATGTGATAACCTCACACGTATCATTCGTCGAGAGGTCAAGGCAGCACAACCGGTAGCCACGCCATTACCGACGCCTGCGCCTTCCCCGACCATGATCTCTTTGATACAAGCCGTCGTTCGTCAAGAGCTATCGAATGTCGGCCTGCATCCCGTTCCTGCCGTATACTCTGCTGACCCTTCTTATCGTCCCCCTTCTGCTCCTCGCATACAACGCAATCCATCCAAATGGCGTACCCTTGATGACAGGCCCATGTGTTTCAACTGTCGACGCGTTGGTCATATTGCACGTCACTGCCACAGCCACTGGCTCCACCATCCCATTATGCACCTCAGCATCACGCCACTTCTGTCCGCCAGTCTTCCCCATCACTTTCTCCATCAACACCGACCACATTTTCCGCTCCTGCAGCACTTCTGAGCAGACCTCGCTACGACCAGTCATCGTCCCCTGCTCGTCGTCAGTCCCGGTCGCCCCCACAACGCCGTGCTGCCTCCCCGACCTATTCGCAGCACCTCTGACCGGAAAACTAGGCCGTGCAGCTTCTGGAGGTGGAGCTGCGTTGACAACCTTCGTAAGAAATCCTCGATTAACGTTAACGACGAACCAGAACCTTTTGGACGCTACTGTCGACAATGTTCGTGTCAGTGCATTGATAGATATTGGCGCGCATGTGTCCATTATGAGTGCTAACCTTCGCCGCCGACTTAAAAAAGTTGTCACGCCTGCTTTCAACCGAGCTGTACGAG